CCAAATATAATTTAGCAAGGAAATCACTGGGCCCAAACTTTTCGACGTATGATAATAGTCTGAATAAATTTGAGAGAACATACAGTTTTAAACATGCTCGTTTTTTTTTTTAGAAAAGATTCTACAAGATAATTCTTACGCCAGGAGGTCCTTCTCTTCTTTCTTTTTTCAGCTTTCAAACCTCTTCTGCCTATTTGCTGCTGATATCCTTCGCCTCCTTTCGTCTTTTTGCTGACCTTCTCTTTCCAGACTTTTGTTGATTAACTTTTTTTAGTTAACTATTTTTTTTTCTCTTTAAAAAAAAAAAAATAAATAAATAAAAAATAGAGCAGTAGCGTTATACAGGTAACAAGAATTACATATGTCTCCCATTACATTTTTCCCTTGATACAATTACAAATGAGAGATCACGTAGCTTTTGAGTGGTCTGTCAAAATCTCCATACAACTATAGAGGATTTGCGTTTCCGCGTCCTAAATTCTCCAGTCTCGCATTTTTATCACGTGACAGAGACACAACGACTTTTCCTTACATTTTTTAAAATTACAAACTTACCCTTTTTATCAACTTTTTTCACTTTGCATTTGTATTATATATATATATATATATATATATATATATATATATATATATATATATATATATATATATATATATATATATATATACATATACTTATACATGTACACATATATAACATACGTATAGTGCTTTATACATTATTTATCTGTCCCCGTGAAAGAACTCAGAATTCCAAGCCTGGTTAAGAACGAGGACTTGACTAGTTCTCACTCGGAACATGTTCATGTCAAAGATGAAGAAGGCGGAGGTTTATCACAGAGGCTACTACCAAGATAACCACTTTGGTCACAAAGGATGGGGCACGATGTTGGATTTGATCCCCCAGGTAACGACTCCGCAAAGATTCTTAGCAGTCTAGAACCATGCGTAGTAAGTTAACATGCTAAACATATCTTCAATATCTGTTCACATCACTGCTTGTGCTCCCTGTGTGGATTTTGGTGTCCATTTTTGTGAACAAATAATCGTCTCACTGTCGACTCTCCTCACATCTTCCCCCCCCCCCCCCTTCTCTGTAATAAGTGGTTTGTATTTCTACTCGTTGTCTAGGCAGTGTTCATGCGTGTGTGGTGGATGATATTCTCACACGCTCCACGTTACACAACTGGCACAAGCCGACACCAATGTGAGCTTACGAGACATGAATTTATTGACATATTAAGACTTACGACAAACGAATAGTCCAGTGGGTGTCCTAGTGAACAGCTTTCGTACACAAACTCACGCAGCCTTCAACGAACAGTCTTCTGTAGGCATTCAAGCAATGATGGGTCCCATGGATTCAACATTGATGTTTGGACATCTCACACGCTGGCATGGTCGATCTCAGCTTAACACTTCGTCGGCAGGTCTCCTTTCTCCTCAGGCACTCACGTAGACATTCTCACATTCAGTCGCTCGTCCTCTCACTCCAACAGGTCGACACAAACTAACCTTGACCAGAGTCAAGTCTGACTTATACCACGGGTTCGTTTCACGTGACAACACCTGGTGGTCCTTTACTTTTCCCGTGGCGACCTTGGGTCGCATCACCGTGGTCCCCGTGATAACTAGTGGTTAGTCACCTATCTCCAGATTCTCGTTTAATCCAAGTATCTGGACTATCTCGGTGTTTTCGGTCAGCTTTGGGCCTTCCCCCCAACCATCCTAAACTGAGTGGAAAATATCCCCCATTACACCCTCCCAACAACCGTACTGTAGTAGACGACTATGTGCTAACAGTCTGCATACAAATAAAACCAGATCTGTCAAACTGATGTGCACGCAAAACTTAAGTTCAAACTAAAAGCCAGAAGTAGACAAACAACCAGAACTTTTCGCCATAGTTTACATCTGGCGAACGCGAAGAAGAAGAGGTATTGTGGTGGAACAAGAACCACGTCCATGAGTGGACGAACACCCAGAATATTCCGCTAGAGTTTGCAGTCAGTAAACGTAAGGATATCCCAGCTTTCCAAAGGCGCATAAGCTGTTGTTGTTATTGATGATGATGATTATTATTATGATGAAGTTTTGCTGCGTTAAGTAATGGTATGTTATTACTACTGACAACACCGCACACTGGATATCACCATGCACGCTAATTCCCCCGACGCAGCAGCCACTATACCTGTGTTAAGTGTTCCCATACAATGATGATTATACCTCATGTCTTGACTTTAAAGACAACATGGGCATGATGATGATGATAATGATGATGATCCTGATTATAGCATTGATGGTTTTACAGATCTGATGATTGCTAGATTTTGGTGTTTTGGTTTTCTATTTAGGGTCTGAAGTTAGAAGCAGTATACGCATAATAAATTTGTTTCCAGTATACAGTGAATATATAATGAGATCTTTAATTGATATGCCCGGAATTGTGGTTGGTGGGCACAATATAAACAATTTACGTGATGCTGATGACACAGTCTTGATAGCAACAAGTCAGAAAGAACTACAGGAAATTATACACATTGTGGTGTTAGAAAGTGGAAGAATGGGCCTCAGTTTGAATAATGTGAAGACAGAAGTAATGGTGGTATCACAGAAACGAATTATTCCTAAATGTGTAATAAAAGTCGATGGTGTTATTTTAGAACAAGTACAGAAATTTAAGTATTTGGGCACATGGATAACATCAGATGGAAGATGCATGACTGAGATAAGAAACAGAATAGGACAGGCAAAAACAGCATTTTATAAAATTAGGAATATCTTGTGCAATATATCCTTGTCATTGAGAGTTAGAAAAAGAATTCTTGCTTGCTACATACATCCAGTTGTAACATATGGCTGTGAATCCTGGACAATCGGTAGGCAGGCCAAACAATTTCTTGAGGCCTCAGAGATGTGGTTTTACAGAAGAATGCTTAAAATACCTTGGACAGCCAAAAAGAGCAACCAAGAGGTTTTCAAAGAGGCGGGAGCCCGAAGACAACTTATCACAGACATCAGAAGGAGACAGTCATCATTTTTTGGCCATGTTATGAGAAGAGGGAAAATAGAACATGTTGTGACCACTGGAAAAATCTGTGGAAGGAGGGATAGAGGAAGACAACAAGAGAAGATTCTTGACAGTCTTGTTGCATGGCATGGAGGTCACACGAACTGATACATGCTGTAGGAGATCGTGGATTATAAAGAGGCATGATCGCCAACGCCAGTCGTCAAGGCACCTGATGATGATGATGATACCCATAACCTCAATTAGTTGATTTTGCCTAATCGCTCTATTGTCTATAATTACCCCACTTTCTGGGACATGCTGTTTATAAGTAGACCAAAGAACCCCTTTACACCGCTTAGAGTTTATTGGGTACATGGTGCTAGGCATATCTTTAATGCTAGTCGGCACTTAATGGGTGTGTGGTCAGTGTCACACCGACCGCTTTTACTTCCAAGAGCAGTTCTCGGTTTTAATTGTAGTCTGCGTCGACCTTCTTAAGTACGAAGGGGCGGGGGCGCTTGTGAAACCTGAGAGCCCAGGTTCTGATACATCACCTTGTGGCCATTTAATATATATCCAGGGGATCTGGCCGACGCTCAACACTCAAGGGAAAGGTGAGATGGATGTACAATCAGTTATTGGTGCCATTGTAACTGGAACTCTTCCCTTACTGCTGAAGATGGCGGTGGATCGCATATGGGAGTGTCTCGAGTGCTGTAATGTAGATTCTTAATTCAACATTAAAAATTCAACATTTACTTAATAATACAATAGCAACAACAACAATAACAAGATATTACTCTGTTTTTATTGGTATTTACTTCATTTTCAAATAAAGAAATGATTACACTTTTGTTTCGGTTGTTATAATTTCGTTCTCCTTTGACAGAAGTGTCAGAGTCGCTAACTTCAGCATTAGATAGCAGGTTAGTATAAAACCGCGACTGAATTTCACTAAAATACAGAGAATGGACTGGTTTGGTCATCCAGTAAGAATACAGCCAGACCAGTCTGTATAGGAGATACCTTCTATAGGAGAATATCAGCCCGGAAAACGAGACGAAGATCAAGGAGGTGATGAATAGACAGTGTAGCTAAATCTGCAGAAGAATAAAACGACCACTCAAGTTACCCGAAAAGCAAAAGATATGTAGGAAACCCCGAGTTTGTGTGACAACCTGGTAACAGTGCGAGGGCCTCCCAAAAAAGAAGAGTGTAACTTTGTTTAACTGATTTCCTTTTTTGCCAGTTTCATAAACTTTCATTTTAGATAATCTAATTTTATTGTAATTTGTATTTCATTATATGCAGTTTGTAATACTTTTGTTTCCATTAAAGTAAGTATACTGCATTTATAAGAATCAACAGATTATAATTTTTTCCCTTGCAGATGTGATAAAGTCCCCGTATGTAAACTGTATTCTTCGACTGGTGCCGCTTTAATTGGCCACACAAACTGACCAGCCCGTGAAACTGTTGCTTCAAGCCCAGTATCGGATGTGCCATGCCAAGATGGTTTACGGGCTACATCGTCATCACAGCTTGAACACAACAGCTTGATCCAGACAATCGCATTTCTTATTCTTCTAGAAATTTGCTAAAACAGGTTACAGCAGATCTTGTATTTTCAATAATGGTTTTGTATGTGTGTGTGTGTGCCTGAGTGTTTGTTCGTATGAGCGCAGGAATTTGTTAACTCTTCAGTAGCAAATAAAGCAGCTATATGTTTCTCTGCCATACCAGAAAATAGGTATAAGCTGCGAGCTATACCTATCACAGGTATATGCTGTATCAATCCTTTGTACCTGAATTATTAATTTAACCACTTCTGCTGTATGGATCCTCCATTGAACTCCGTCAGACCAAAGTATATATTGCTTTTAAGCTCAAATCTTCATAGTAAAATCAGTTAAAGTAACAAGGGCGTAGGACTGAAAGAGTTAACAGGAGAGAGTTGTTACCCATGCCATTATCGTTATTCACGCTATTACAGACACGTGTCACCATGTCCCAGCGGAAACTTCTGAGCCACTTTGGTGATGGTGTTTATCAGAGCCGCCTCATCCTGATCACCGGAAAACATGGAGTGCCCGTTCATGAAGATGAATGGTATGGCTGGTGGAGAAAGAGGGAGAACAAGCAGCAAATTACTACATGTAGAACACGATATGAAAACATGGGTAATAGTAACGTTGCTGTCCCCATTTACAGTGTTACACACTAGCTAACGTCTGATTGGTCGACCTTCAGCCTAGCTCACTTCTAATTGGTTGACCTTGAGCCACGCACCTTGGCACAAGATTACGGAGGTGTTTCGCAATGAAGTTCATATAGCATGTTGTATATTTCAGCAAGCCAGCGCTTATAACACTCAAAACACATCGAAAAACTGGGTCTGACAAAAAACCTGTTTAGAGAGTGATGAAACCCACGTCACAGGCATTCTCTTTTTCGGAATAAAACGTAAATACAAGACAATCCAGAAAGAAAACAACATAGCGGCTCACCCGTAACCTCCAGCAAAGTAGACCAATATAACAAAGTTATCAATGGAACGTGACCCACTTTGTTTGGGGAGACTAACGTTGGTTTAAATCAAACACGAATTATTAAACGACAGGTGTATTTGGCTCCCGCCGGTGGTGTGTGTGTGTGTTTGTGTGTCTGTGTGTGTGTAAAGGGGGTGGGGTAAATTGGGTGTGGTTCGTGGTTCTACGTGGTGCAGGGGATAAAAACGTTACTGCCTGGTCAGGACTTAGCATAACTTCATCACCATCTAGGACCCCAGTATAACATTACGGTTGAACATGGCTTACCAGGAATTGCAAGATACTCATCAGAATCGTATGGACTGCAATCATGTAGGGGTCGGTACGTTTGACTAGTGCTTTGAATATTGTAGACTAAATTGTGAACCTTCATTTTCGTTTCTTGGGCGCAGGCATTTTTCAAATTCCGGGGGGGGGGGGGGGGGGGGATGTCTTTTTTGCTGGCACTACAGAGTTTTAAGTGGAGGTGACCGTGCCATGTGGGATAAAAGCCAGCACAATAATGATGAGATGGTCGTAGTTTATATTTAGGGCCTCAATGAGATCCAGGATAGGGTTTTAATATAATCAAAATATTGCGTCCTATATTGAGGCGGATACATTGAGCCTGCGAGTTTACAGCTGAATGGTTAGTGTTGTCGCCACGGACTTTGTAGGCTGCTATTTTCTTTTTGCATAGTAACTTTGTTACTAGGAGGGTAAATAGTGCCAGTTGCTGGTTAGCAAGACTTCAAATACGTCCCCTGTGTCTCTTGTAAATGACTGTGCCGATCTGTACTCCCAATTCTTGCATTCTAAGCAGTGATGTGAACAGGCTGCCTCCAAAATCCTCCTATCGTCCTATCTTTATTGGGGCATTAACAATGTCAGAGCGATCCATAGACCGGCCATCTGCAGACTAAGGCAGAACTGGCCAATCTACCCGGGCTTTCGTTGGAAGACTAGCTCCACTTCAGTACTGGAGTTGATTGGCATATCTTCTTTATTTTCCCAACAACCGGTTTCTACATTTCTGATCCTGTCAGGGCAGCTGTAAACATCACTCTGTGCTCTCAGTTAACGTAAACTGATACAGGGAGACGTCCAGGAAAGTAAAAGCACCTATTTGTTTTTAATTTTGCATTATTTGCTAAAAAGATTTCATATTTATATGGCATTCAGCACATAACAAAAACACTTATTATTACTGCGCACATGAACGAGGCATACGCTATTTGAGCCTCGCCTCCTAAAAAATAAAAAAGGGGTTGAGACTCTCAGTAACAGTTTACTGTCTTTGTTGTCGGATCCCTGCTACCTGTCTCCTGTTAAACAGGTTTGAGGTTTGAATAGCGGAGCAACATCATGGCACACGGATAGTAACCTATAAGTGTTCCGTTCTTCTTCTATCTCAAGCCTGCATCCAAAGAATCTCAGCACAGTGCGCATGCTCTGTAGCCCCGGGGAGGATCCTGAAATACTTTGGGTAGATTTGCAACTCCAAATTTTGTCCGGGCAGCGCCGTTAGGCTACTCTTTTCCATTTCCAACTGCCAAGAGATTTTGTACATGCGCAACAATGCACACGGGCGTCCGATTTCACTAACCAGAGACCAAGGGAAATTACTAGAAGTCCAAGTCCACGTGCAAAAAATCCTAGCCCTTACCGGGGATTGAACCCGGAACCTCTAGCACTCGAGTCGGACTCCATGCCTCGAGACCACGCAGCTCCCTCCCCCTAAACAACAACAGGTCAGGGTTGAGATTAACACCACTTGCAGCTTTAGTTTAGGTGGTTACACGTACAGTTACACGTACAGTTACACGTACAGTCACACGTACAGTCACACGTACAGTCACACGTACAGTCACACGTACAGTTACACGTACAGTTACACGTACAGTCACACGTACAGTCACACGTACAGTTACACGTACAGTTACACGTACAGTCACACGTACAGTCACACGTACAGTCACACGTACAGTCACACGTACAGTCACACGTACAGTTACACGTACAGTCACACGTACAGTTACACGTACAGTTACACGTACAGTTACACGTACAGTTACACGTACAGTCACACGTACAGTTACACGTACAGTTACAGGTACAGTCACACGTACAGTCACACGTACAGTCACACGTACAGTTACACGTACAGTTACACGTACAGTTACACGTACAGTTACACGTACAGTCACACGTACAGTCACACGTACAGTTACACGTACAGTTACACGTACAGTTACACGTACAGTCACACGTACAGTTACACGTACAGTTACCCGTACAGTCACACGTACAGTTACACGTACAGTTACACGTACAGTCACACGTACAGTTACACGTACAGTTACAGGTACAGTTACACGTACAGTTACACGTACAGTTACACGTACAGTTACATGTACAGTTACACGTACAGTTACACGTACAGTTACACGTACACTTACACGTACAGTTACACGTACAGTCACACGTACAGTTACAGGTACAGTTACACGTACAGTCACACGTACAGTTACAGGTACAGTCACACGTACAGTTACACGTACAGTTACACGTACAGTTACAGGTACAGTTACAGGTACAGTTACACGTACAGTTACAGGTACAGTTACACGTACAGTCACACGTACAGTTACACGTACAGTTACACGTACAGTTACACGTACACTTACACGTACAGTTACACGTACAGTCACACGTACAGTTACAGGTACAGTTACACGTACACTTACACGTACAGTCACACGTACAGTTACAGGTACAGTCACACGTACAGTTACACGTACAGTTACACGTACAGTTACACGTACAGTCACACGTACAGTTACACCTACAGTTACACGTACAGTTACACCTACAGTTACACGTACAGTTACACGTTCAGTTACACGTACAGTTACACGTACAGTCACACGTACAGTTACACCTACAGTTACACGTACACTTACACGTACAGTTACACGTACAGTCACACGTACAGTCACACGGACAGTCACACGGACAGTCACACGTACAGTTACACGTACAGTCACACGGACAGTCACACGTACAGTTACACGTACAGTCACACGTACAGTCACACGTACAGTTACACGTACAGTCACACGTACAGTTACACGTACAGTCACACGTACAGTCACACGTACAGTCACACGTACAGTTACACGTACAGTCACACGTACAGTTACACGTACAGTCACACGTACAGTTACACGTACAGTTACACGTACAGTTACACGTACAGTCACACGTACAGTCACACGTACAGTTACACGTACAGTCACACGTACAGTTACAGGTACAGTCACACGTACAGTTACACGTACAGTTACACGTACAGTTACAGGTACAGTTACAGGTACAGTTACACGTACAGTTACAGGTACAGTTACACGTACAGTCACACGTACAGTTACACGTACAGTTACACGTACAGTTACACGTACACTTACACGTACAGTTACACGTACAGTCACACGTACAGTTACAGGTACAGTTACACGTACACTTACACGTACAGTCACACGTACAGTTACAGGTACAGTCACACGTACAGTTACACGTACAGTTACACGTACAGTTACACGTACAGTCACACGTACAGTTACACCTACAGTTACACGTACAGTTACACCTACAGTTACACGTACAGTTACACGTTCAGTTACACGTACAGTTACACGTACAGTCACACGTACAGTTACACCTACAGTTACACGTACACTTACACGTACAGTTACACGTACAGTCACACGTACAGTCACACGGACAGTCACACGGACAGTCACACGTACACACGTACAGTTACACGTACAGTCACACGGACAGTCACACGTACAGTTACACGTACAGTCACACGTACAGTCACACGTACAGTTACACGTACAGTCACACGTACAGTTACACGTACAGTCACACGTACAGTCACACGTACAGTCACACGTACAATTACACGTACAGTCACACGTACAGTTACACGTACAGTCACACGTACAGTTACACGTACAGTTACACGTACAGTTACACGTACAGTCACACGTACAGTCACACGTACAGTTACACGTACAGTTACACGTACAGTCACACGTACAGTTACACGTACAGTTACACGTACAGTCACACGTACAGTTACACGCACAGTTACACGTACAGTTACACGTACAGTCACACGTACAGTCACACGTACAGTTACACGTACAGTTACACGTACAGTCACACGTACAGTCACACGTACAGTTACACGTACAGTCACACGTACAGTTACACGTACAGTCACACGTACAGTTACACGTACAGTCACACGTACAGTTACACGTACAGTCACACGTACAGTTACACGTACAGTTACACGTTCAGTCACACGTACATTTACACGTGCAGTTACACGTACAGTCACACGTACAGTCACACGTACAGTTACACGTACAGTCACACGTACAGTCACACGTACAGTTACACGTACAGTTTCATGTACAGTCACACGTACAGTTGCACGTACAGTTACACGTACAGTTACACGTACAGTTACCCTCAGAGAAGCACAATTTAGGGGGATATGGTGTGTCTACCTTCGATGCCCATGGTGCGCCATACTGCAGCCTTCTGTTTGATTTCTTCTGCTCTGTCGGGATCCTCAATGAGCTTCTCTACAACATTCAAATCAAAGCCGAAATCTTCTGCCACAGCGATTATATGTCGCTTTGCCAATGCTCGTCCCTTGGTGAAATAGAGCTGTTTGGTATATGGATCATATGTTTATTAACAATTTGACGTCTACTGATGGAACTGATAATAGCAACAACAACAAAAATCAGAGATGAGAGAAAAGACATTCATTACTGGCGGTCCGTGTGAAATCATTTTAATGGGTCCGTGAGATGATTTACAGTAACTCTTTCGGTACCAGAAGATTTTGCAACCAGTGCTGAAGTCTGCAGACAGTTGTGAAAGCTTACATAAGGCTACACATTAAGGATGCGGTCACATGGGTAGCCAGGTTTTTTTATATCCTCCGACCAAAATTAACATGTAAGTGAACACACTTTTCGATAGTTGAGAACCCACTGGGAGGGTCTTCCCACACACCATGCATTGTTTGGGACTAAAATAATTATCATATATATTTTTGTTTTTAAATATGACTATTAAATAGAATGAGAACAGAAAACTCACGCCTAACACAAACAATTGTGTATATTGGTCTTGTGTTCTTAGTACTCTTTGTTTACGACATTGAACTTTGGTCAACTTGTTCGCACCCAGAGAAACGGCTAAATAGCTGTCACATGCGATGCCTAGAAGAAAACTTGGCATTAAGCGGCAGGACAAGATCACAAATGCTTAGGTATTGGAAAGAACAGGTATCACAACAGTCTTCTCAATGCTCAGTCTCCGAAGGCTCAGGGTACTGGGTCACACCTGGAGAATGGTGGATGGCAGAGTCCCTACGGACGTCGTCTGTGGTGAATTAATGATTGGTAGAAGATGTCGAGGCTGACCTCTGCTAGATATAAAAATGCGTGCAAGCCGAACATGAATAATACAGGTATCGGGGTGAACTCGTGGGGACAAAATGCTATTGGTTGTGTTGTATGGAAGGGGTACATCAGGAAGGGAATGAGAATGAAGGAAGAAGTGATTACAGAAAGGATGAGGGCTGAGTGCCTGAGAAGAAACAGACTAAATACAAATGTTGACAACAACGGTCATGAAAGCCTGTGCTGTAATTGCGGAAGACGTATCTTGGGTAAAGATGTCAAAGCCGACCTCTGCTATGATATCAAGATGCAGGTAAGCAGGTAATGACTGATACAGGTATTGATATAGATTCAAAGGAGAAAAATATCTTGGACAGTGTTGAATGGTGGTGATGATGATACCTGCACCAATGAATCCTAACTGCTCTGAATGATGAAGGAGAAGAAGAAGATAGTTACTATAAAAGAAACTCTTGCCTCCAAGAGACGTCGGTGCATTGTCACGGGAACAAGAGTGCTTTGGTATACCTAAACTTCCTTCCGTATTTCCCCCTCCCGGCTGCCACCTGACGGTTTGACATTTTTAAATTGTAAAATCTCCATCTGCATCATCAATCAGCATATCCTTTATGCAACGTCGTTCTCTTCACGCTACGCTCTAGCCCTATATGCTTTCATAATCAATGTATCTTCTATATCTTGTATTCACCTTCACGAAGGTCAGCGTCTGCCTCGTTTTCGGGACTCTGCATCCTCCATCACCGTGCTCACCAGACCACCATGGCGTTTAGCATGTCCAAAATACCTCAGCTTTCGGGGGAGGGTGCTGTTTACGAGCCAGTTCTCCTCTTTGATTGTCAGGTCTTTCAGGATGTCGACGTTTTCCTTCGTCTTGGTCCACGGTATTCTAAGAACCGTTCTGTAGCATTTCATTTCTCTTTTTTGAAAGTGCAAGCATAGTAGAGCGTTAGGAGAAATCCCGTTGTGCTTCTAAAGAAGTTATAATTGGGGCACCTCTAACAGCAGCACCGGTCTAGTTTAACCTATAGCCCTGTCCAGGTAAGGACGCTCTTGGACATCTTCTTTCCTTCTTTTTCTGTTCTTTTTCTTCGTCTTCTTCTTTGTCCTGGTTATCATCATAATCATTATATTTGCCTGATTTTTTTCTTCTTCTGTAATTACCCAAGGACACACTTGTATTGTGGCCGTTTACAGTTTGGCTGTCCTGCGTGCTCCTTTTGGTCGAAAAGTCCAACCTCTTCAGACATTTGTTGCTCGGTCTGGCCTTACCCGTGACACAGTACAATAATGGCGTGAGGAGAATGATTTGTCTTGTCTTCCTGTATCTTACTATAAATTTTTCTAGAAAGATTATTTTATTTCTAACGCTAAATGTAACATACAGAGATCATTTTCTTGTGGTGTTTTCGGTACTTGCCAGAGATGATTTTCTTTAATGATGTTTTAGGTCAGTGTTTCTCAAACTTTTCTTGTTCGCGGCGCCTTTTTTTCAATTACAATTTTTCCATGGCGCCCTAACATAAGTAAAAGTGTGACTATTCGTATGTAAGAGATAAAATTTAAAAAAAAACTCTTGTATCTTCGAATATTTTAGCTGCGCCCCTGTGAAGAGGTCGCGGCTCCCCTGGGCGCCGCGGCGTACAGTTTGGGAATCACTGTTCTAGATACTAACATAAGACGTTTTTCTCGTGATATTATGTGTACTTTTCAATGGTGAGTTTTTGATTACTTACGTAAGATATTTTCTAGTAATATGTTCGGTACTTATCAGAGGTGAATTTCTTGTGACATTTTATGTACTTATCAGTGGTAATTTTTTTTCCTAAGTGACATTTTAGGCACTTACCAAATAATTTTTAGTGACATTCTGAGTACTCACCCTGTATGATTTTCTCGTGAAATTGTAGGTATTTACGTGAGATGAAATCCTGTGGTATTTTTGGTTACTTTTACAAGATAGGGGCTTATAAGCTGAAACACTATAGAAAGATTAACAGAATACCACGGACAAAGAGGAGAAGAGATACTAATATTATAAAAGACCTCCAAATCAAGGAAGATTGGCTAATAAACAGCTTATTGACTCGGAAGCTTAATTATATTGGTCATATCGAGCGCCATGGCGGATTGGAAAAAATGATATGATACAAAACCATTTTCTGGTGATATTTTAAGTACTTATTAGAGATGATTTTCTGGTGATATTGTAAGTACTTATTAGAGGTGATTTTCTGGTGATGTTTTAATTACTTATTAGAGATGATTTTCTGGTGATATTTTAAGTACTTATTAGAGATGATTTTCTGGTGATATTGTAAGTACTTATTAGAGGTGATTTACTGGTGATATTTTAATAACTTATTAGAGATCATTTTCTGGTGATATTTTAATTACTTATTAGAATGATTTTCTGGTAATATTTTAAGTACTTATTGGGGATGATTTTCTGGTGATATTTTAATTACTTATTAGAGATGATTTTCTGGTGATATTTTAAGTACTTATTAGAGGTGATTTTCATGTGATATTTCAAGTACTTATTAGAGATTATTTTCTGGTGATATTTTAATTACTTATTAGAGATGATTTTCTGGTGATATTTTAATTACTTTTAGAGATGATTTTCTGGTAATATTGTAAGTACTTATTAGAGGTGATTTTCTGGTGATATTTTAATTACTTATTAGAGATAATTTTCTTGTGATATTTTAATTACTTATTAGAATGATTTTCTGGTAATATTTTAAGTACTTATTAGGGGTGATTTTCTGGTGATATTTCAAGTACTTATTAGAGATGATTTTCTGGTGATATTTATTACTTATTAGAGATGATTTTCTGGTGATATTTTAAGTACTTATTAGAGATGATTTTCTGGTGATATGTTAATTACTTATTAGAGATGATTTTCTGGTGATATTTTTAAGTACTTATTAGAGATGATTTTCTGGTGATATTTTAATTACTTATTAGAGATAATTTTCTTGTGGTATTTTAATTACTTTTTAGTGATAATTTTCTTGTGATATTTCAAGTACTTATTAGAGATGATTTTCTGGTGATGTTTTAAGTACTTATTGGAGATGATTTTCTAGAAATAGACTGTGTAATAGCCCATGATGTTTTACGTGTGATTTTGCAGGTATTTGCGCTAGATAAATTTTTGATGATATTTTAGATACATTTTTAAGATGATTTTCTTTCTGGTGATATTCTGAATACTGACCTGAAACAGACGATCCACCACCTGTCCATGTAAGGCGCCATCGTTGACGGTTTTCGCATACTCTACCAAGATATGGGCCATGACGGTATTAGGCCAAACAGGACAGCGGAAGTGGAATTCAATTCCTAGATCACACCCTATGTCCTTCAAGAGTTCCACTCTGGGGAGAGTGGGGAGGAGTGAGGAGTGGTGGATGGGTAGAGAGTGGTGAGAAAGGTGAGGGTGAGAAAAGAGAGGATTATGTAATACATGTTATGAGGATTATGTTATACATGTAATCTATTTAACTTCCATCCGGTGTGGTTGTCGATCTGTTTGTCATGGTGATCTCTGTCTCAACGAGAGACAAGAAGACGGACAAGAAGGCAGTCAGGTAGACATAACAACAAACAGAAAAACTGAAACAGGCAATCTGGCAAACAGACTGGCATGTAGGTTAGTAGCAAGGTAGGTAAGTATGTAGGCATTAAGACGACAAATAGACAGGAACACAGGTAGGTGTGGGATTAGAAGGTTCTCCGTGTGAGTTCTGGGGCCCTATTATAGGGAAAACAATGATAGACCCACTGCCTGCCCAAAAGCGTGTCGTAAAAGTCGACTCATTGGGAGCTTCCTTCGAAGTCGGAGTGCATCTGCCTGAGAGGCAAGGAACCCACAGCCTGCATACAAATTAGTCAGATATGTCAAACGGATGCACACGCAACACTCAGGTGCTGGACCACGACCGCAGTCCAGAAGTGGACGAACAACCAGAACTTTTCGCCGGAGTTTACAGCCGGTGATTGCAAAGAAGAAGAAAAAGATTAGAAGGTGAAATTAAATAGATAAAGGTTTGAAGTTTGAACAACGGATCAAGATCATGGCACAAGATTAATAGACAATAAGTGCTCTGTTCTTCTTCTAGCTCAAGTATGAGTCCGAAGAAGCCCAGCACAGTGTACAGGCTCTGTAGCACAGCCCAGCACAGTGTACAGGCTCTGTAGCTTAGCCCAGCACAGTGTACAGGCTCTGTAGCACCGGCGAGAATCCTGAAATACTTTGGGTAGATTTTTAACTCTAAATTTTGCCTGAGAAAAAAAAAAAAAAGAGAAAGTATATAGAAATCTAGATGGTGAAGAAATGCATTGGGCGGAAAAGGTGCGGGGGGGGGGTGGGGGTTATACTAGCCTTATCCTAGGAAGAGGAAATGCAATCTGAAAAAAATTGTGTTATGACAGGGCAGACCTGACCTTAGCTTTGGTTGGTAGCTGGTATAAGAGGGAAGTTCCCACTGGTTGATAGACAGCTTCAGTAGCTTCTGCAGCATGCTTTGTTCGAAACGTGTTACCTTTCCCTTGGAGTTAACAAAGCAGGCCGATTCGGATCATTATGCATGGGCAACACATGGTGTCTTCAATAATTCCTAGAATTTGCTGGTATGGACAAAAAGACACAGTCATTGGTTGGGTACTTTTATTTTAGTTAGCGCCATATTGGGGAATCCGATAGTTCCTCAGGAAAGTCCAATATCATAGTGGTGTGACGGTGAGAAATTAGCACCTGCTAACTCTAACCCTAATTTCCCCCCCCCCCTCCCCCACTCCCTTATATTTGACTTTTCCGGGAACTATCTGATTCCCCGAGAAAGGGTAAACTAAAATCAACCTACCATTGGCTGTAATTCCCAAGCCTCACTATCGCACAATATAACAATTTGTCTGAAAAGACCAAAGTGCAGCAACAGACATGTAGATAGTTAGACTAGTAGATATAAATACGGGTTGACTGAGGCATACAGTTTGTTGAGAGTGATGTAGAGCGGAGTTACTAGGGGTTCTGGCCGATACTCGGCGCTCAGAGGAAAGGCACGACGGTCATTTAATCAAACTGTTATTAGGACCACTGGTATTAGAACTCTGCGTTGGCTGCTGAAGCTGAGGACGGAGCGCTAATGGGAATGCCCCGAGTGCTGTGATGTCAGTTCTTAAATCAAATCAGGCAAGCAGGTGGTTATGAAGGTGAGCATGTAAATAGGTTGGTAAGTTAGTAGTTAAATAGATAGGTAAGTAGATAGGTAATTAGACTGACCGATATGTAGGATCCATGTATACAATACATTTTTCATATAAAACAGTAATTACCCAGGATCGTTCGGGTCGCCTCCAGGCGGATGATGATGGGGAATACCTTCTTTAGGACATTCAGGGTGCAGCAGAAACGGTTGCCAGGTGACGCTGAAATCATACTGACCTGACATCAGGATCATCACACGCTCCAGCCGCCGTTTCGTCACCCAACACCAAGGTCATATGAGATCGCTGATCACCTCAATGTAAATGTGAGGTTTTGATGTACGCACATCGCTGGAGTCACCCAATGCTGCTTGCTCGACTGCTTCAGCCGGCCTCGCATCTGCCATGGTGTCTGGAGGTGCCAGATCAGCAAATATTTCTATTCTGTTAATCTATCTTTTTGAGGCCCTAACACTTTCTGCTGCTGCCTCATAAGAGACAGTTATAAAAAAAATTAATGTTGAAGTTTAGATGTAAAGCAGAACGTGCAATGTACAATGTCGGCTAGAGGTGTTGTTTTCTTGGCGTCATGCCTAGATACGCATTTAGGAAAGGTGCTCATTTGTGCTGTCTGCAGCTTTGGGTGTTTGACAGCCAGATTGTGACCGGTACCATCGGTATTGGAACTCTGCGCTGGCTGCTAAAGATGGCGACGGAGCATGCATGGGAATGCCCCGAGTGCTGTAATGTCACTTCCTGACTCGACTTGACTCAACTCAACTCAACTCTGGGTGTTTGACTTGTTTCTTGAAATTTCTTCTGTAGCATTCCAAGCCCTCGAAGTTCATTGCTGCAGATATCACCAGCCTCGTTTCATCTCTGTGGATGATACTCTCTATACAAGGGATGACTCCTAGCGTCTGTGATTTATATAGATTATAAATTTCATTGTTGCTTCTCCTTCTCCATTTCTCACTGTTTAAATATTTGGTGGGTCAAAAGATATTTCGTAAGACTCTTCTTCGTTCTCTTCACCATTCTGAGCCCTTGAATTTCATTGCTGCAGATATCACCCGCCCGCACTCATCTCTCTGTTTAGCCTTCTCTTTCCAGTTGGTGACACCAAGTGTTCGAAGGTCTGTCTGGACATTATTTCTCCATCGTCTTATTGGTCTGCCTCGTGGTCTACAATTATTCTACTCCCTCGTGTATACAGTTTTTACCTCTGTCATCTGACATTCTCTCAATATGCCCCAGCCATTTCAGCCTATTAGCTCTCATGATGCCAATAATTTCATTGTCCCTTTAAATCTATCAGAAACAGAGGCTTAGATCGTAAGACTAAGTTATTCACACACACACACACACACACACACACACACACACACACAAATATGTAATAAGGCTTTATCTCGCTTAGTTTTGACTGGAATGGTTTTTGTATTATGTCGGTACCAGAGAACTCACCCTACGTGTCTTGCATCAATCTATAAGTTAAAGCGTCAGGGCGACCCTAATTAAAATGATGCCACTACTCACCAATAATTACTTTAAAAAAGTGCAGGTACTCCACAAATATAGCTTATTGCAGTAGCGCTGACAAAGAGATTGATAAAAAGGTGCCTGTGCTGCGTACCTGTGTCTACATCTAGAGGTAAAAACCTGATAAACACCCTGCCAACTTCGTTTTTCTCTGTAATATAAGGTTTCAACATCGAACACAACACTGTATCGAAATAGCTCGACTGCTTTTGACTTCACCAACAGATGCTCACTTGTTTCTGTGTTGGAAACCTGTGTGTCCAAGCAACTGAGCATATAAAAATGCTGAGCATGTACTCCCTTACTGTCAACTGGTGGCTGCCCAACAGAACCTATCTTGTCTGCTCCCACCTCAGTCAAGACTTTTGCATCTACAAATGCTGAGCATGTACTCCAATACTGTTAACTGGTGGCTGCCCAACAGAACCCATCTAGTCTCCTCCCACCTTAGTCAAGACTTTGCATCTACAAATGCTGAGCGTGTACTCCAATACTGTTAACTGGTGGCTGCCCAACAGAACCCTTCTTGTCTGCTTCCACCTCAGTCAAGACAGAGGTGTATTGTACACAATGTGATTTTGACTCAGCTTGCATCAATCTCAATAAGCTCCTGATATACGTTTCTGACTGAAGAACTGAAGACTAAAACATAGAAAAAGGAGATGTTTTATGACTCATAGTGTTGAGTTTTTAAATCTATCACAATCAGTATGTTTAAAGTTCTGAAGTGTCGCTCTTTGAGAAAGAAGGAGATGTAATCAGGGATTTTTTCCTACAAAAAAGGTAAGGATGGGAGGGGGAGGGTGGCTGATGCTCACCACAATGTACCTTGAAAAGTGTCAGTTACTCACCTGAAAGTGTCTATCACAGTAGTGCTGAAAGAAAACTGCACAAAAAGACACCGTATTGCGTACTTTTTGATTTTGTTTTGATTTGATTCAAGAATCGACATCACAGCACTTAGGATATTCCCATAAGCGCTCCGTCCCCATCTTCAGCCGCCAGCGAAGAGTTCCGATACTAATGGTGCCAGTAGATTTCTGATTAAACGTCCGTCTTGCCTTTCCTCTGAGCCTCGAGCATCTGCCATAACCTCTCGTCACTCCTCCCTGCATCAATCTCGCTAGACTGGTGATCCATCTGCTCCTCCGAACTGTGCACGCTTTCCCACAAAACACTAACCACGTCTGCCTTATCATGTATCAGTATTCCACCAAGCTGTGCAGAGCCAGCTTATTACTAGTTATGTACATCGATAGGGTGACCCTGGAGAAGGTGTAAGATCAAGATAAAGAAGATGAAGAAAAAGGAAAAACAAAAACAAAAATAATAACAACAATAGCAGTAACAACAACAGGGTAATGATGATGATCAATACACTCGGTGACACAAAGTGCCACTATTCAGAAAAGGATCACCCGTGGAGAGGTCCCAGAAACCCCATTCAACCCATAGGTTGGGTTATATTAGGGCCCCCGGCAAAAACCAGGGTTTGGCTTCAGAATAATGACAATAATGCGTCCAACATGGGGACTGATAAGACCTGTCAGTCCAGACAGCAGACAATTAAGGCAGATCCCAGATACCCCGTTCATCTTCTAAAAAAGTTAAAATTGGTTGACCCGTAACGGCTACACCAGTATGCGGACAAGCACAAGAGTGTGATGTGAGTCAAGAAATCGACGACGTCTTTTTATACCATGGCTCGCATTATTGCAGACCTTCCATTGTGTGCCGCGTGGGTGCTAGCCAGACCGTTTCCATCTGACGGGTCATGCTGCTGAAGTCACCAAACCGGGCTAACGATGCTTTAAAACGTATAATTAGCCCGATTTGATTACTTAAACAGCATGGCCCATCAGATGGAGATGGTCTTGGGCTAGCTGTAGCCACAGACTAACATAGATGTAAGAATTAATGCAGTTATCGCCCTTCACATAAATGTGGGTCATGTTAGGCAAAATCAGGGATGGGCCGAAAAACAGCCACTTTTTTGTCTTGTCCATCACCACTTACTTCCCCTAGATAAAAGAAACCGAACAAATCTGTCATTGAAAAGTTTCCCACTTGTATATCAGACATCTCTGTATATCAGTGTCTCCCACTTAAATAGATCTCGCAGTTAGAAAAGACCAGCCCACACCTATTATTTTCTATGGATTTGCTAGGGACTACATATTTTAGACAGTCTTACTATAGAAAAAAGACAACAACAAAATCACAAGAACTTAAATAAGATTACTGCGAAAAGCTCTGAGTATAAGAAGTAGAGATACGATCAGAAATGATGAAATCCGGAGGAAAATGAGGGTAAGTGAGTAAGTAAATTTTACCCTACCAGGACATCACACAGAGCTATAAGCACCCGGTGACACAAATAGCCGCCATGCGGATGAGGAACGCCCGTGGAGAGGTCCCATAAACCGCGTTCAACCGTTAGGTTATATTACGGCCCTGGTAGCAGCCAGTGAGGGGCTTCAAAAAAAAAAAAAACAAATTGCGTCCCACATAGAGACGGCGTTGGTTTGTTTAAAAAGGGAGCTAGCGGCAGCTGTGGGTTTCATTTGGGGGCAAAGGCGAAATAATTTGGCCATATAACGTGGATGTCAACAAACATTATACCATAGAAAGCAATGATGTACAAACCAAGCAAGAAGCGAAGAAGAGGCCGATCATGCACACGATCGCCAGAGGGAATTACAGGGTACCTGGGAACGCCCATTTTAGAATCCATAAACGGGCACTTTCCCCATAAACCATACACCACCTTGACACATCAAGGTACAAGAGGATCAAGATGTGACACAAGTTGTCCCTTTTTGTGATGCAAATTTTTTTTTTTCTTTGTTATTTAAAGCCCCACCTCAGCTTGTGCTGTAGGCCCTGAATATATAAATCTTTTAAAGTAAAGGTCCCTTTTCCAGGCCTTTAGGGGTATAGGGCACATAGGGCTAGATCTATATTTTTATAGACCAAGCGGCACAAGGTGGGTAATGTGGTCAGCATCACGCAGGCCCCCTTTACTTCCCGGAAGACCAAAATATAATCGGACCATAAATATGTCCTAACGACTGAACGGGATTTCAGGAACTCTCCTCGGGTGATTCTCATCCGCATGGTGACACTTTGTGTTACCAAGTGTTTATCGCTTGTATGATGTCCTGATGGGGTACAACTTACATACATACATTCATAGAAGTGACTTCTGTTGGAATTTATGCAGCTATTGCCCTTGAAATAAATCTAGGTCACGTAAGCAAAATCGGGGATGGGCCCAAAAACAGCAAATATTTCAACTTGTCAACCACCAGTTACTTCCCCTAGTTAAGAGAAACCGAACAGATTTGTCTTGATAAGTTGTCCACTGGAGACTGGTTCCAATCTATGGTTCCCATTAAGATAAGACTTGCCACCAGTGGCGTACAGAAAAAATGTGCCGGTGTTGGTGTTGAAATAATAATTAAAATATGGCGTAAAATGCGACTAATTAGATGTGTTTCTTTCTAAGTCGGAAGGCAACTGCATGATAGACAAGGAATCAACAGCCTGCATACAAATAAGCCAGACCTGTAAAACGGATGTGTATGTAGAACTCAAGTTCTGGAACAAGTCCATTAATACACGAACAGCCAAAACTTTGCGCCGGAGGTTTTGTCGAGTCATGTCCATCCGAATATAAGAGGCAATTTTTTGGGTCTCTTTAAGAACCCAC